TCTTGAATTCTTATCCTATTTCAAAAATTTATGAAATTCTACAAAGTCCCGCAGAATCCATTAAAATCCTAACTTAAAAGTCTTGCATAATCCATTAAAATCCTGATTGAAAGTCTTGTGAAATCCTACAAAATCTTAAAAGTCATGTTTTAAAATTCAAAAGATTTTTTTCAATTAAAAAAATCTTTTAAAATCCTAATCTAATACACCCCTTAATAATAATGATAATCGCTTGATTTTTTTATTATATGTCTTTCCCGTCTTGATCTTAAAAGATTGCTGATAGAAAACCCATGCCTACCTAGGATTTTCCTATTTCGGATCAATCATTATAAAATAAGCATGTCCTGATCAAATTGCCTAACATAAGTATCCAATGTTGTATTTTAATTGAGGGAAAAGAAAAACTGTGCTGACTACTTGGATCTTTCTATTTGGAAAAGTAACATACAAAATCCAGTTGCCTTCTATAATAAAAATAATTATTTACCAATATAATCATTAGTTTTAATATTTAAAACAAATAATTGTTTTTGTCCTTCTTTTTTCTGCTTTAAACTTTTGCAAATAAAATATATAAAAAATAATATTTTTTACTAATTATATTAAAATTTTAATTGAAGATATTAACACAAATAGTCATATAAATTGCATTAAACTGATTGGGATTATTATATTTATGCCAGTCACCATGCCAACAAGGAATTACTTTATGTAAATAACTTTTGAAATTTACAGGTCAAATATTAAAAAATGGATAATTAGTAAAGAGTTTTATTGAAACAAAAAATAAACAATATAGTAAAAAAATATTATATATACACGTATTAAATAATAACTATTTTTTTAGATCTATTCATAACCACATGAATGACGTGTCAAACCCACACGAACATAAGGAAATTTAACACAAATTCTCACACATTAAATAACTAACACAGAGCCTTGAAATTAATTCTGCACAAAAAATTAACATAAAATCAACTCTATATTAATACTAATAAATTTACACAAATTAGTTCCCTGATCCTAAAAAATTATAGAAAATGATTATGAGTAGTGTTTTAAACAATAATTGCTTTGACTTAGTATCATTAATCTCATGCATTAAAATTTGGTCTTAACATTGGTTTTCAATAAAAATAAGAAGGTCGATCTTTTTCCTTTTTAATTAGTTTGATTCTTGCTTTATTTGTTACTAACTTCTGTCATTTTAGCTTTACCAAAAAAAAACTTCTGTCATTTTATGTTTTTTTTTTCTGCGTGTGATTTTCGTTTCCTTTAAGTGTTTCTAGTTCCAGTAAGAATATGGTCAGTTTTGGGAGATAAAATGGGCATTTTGTTTTCTCTAACTTCCATGACCTTCCAAAACCATCAAGATTATATTACTATTCCAGGCTAGGTAATTTAATTTCAATTCCTCTTCCTTTCGATCCTTGATTAAATTTTGCATTTCTGCCTACGTTGATTGTTCTATTAATTATACTTATTGATTTAAAACTCGACTGCAGAAACTCTTACAGCTAGCGCAAGCTACATGTTTTTCCTTTTCATTTCACTAATTTGGGTTGGGAAATATATATATGGTACTATAATTGTGTACGTTCTATCGATAGCTCCCAATCATAATGCACAGATACATATATATGTCATGATCAAAAGAATGGTAAAACATATGTAGATGCATATAATGCAGGTATTGCAGACAGCAAAGACTTTATGTTGTGGTTAATTTGGTTTAATTGTTCTCTGATAGTCTATATTCTATACCACTAACTTGAAAGAGGGGTTAATTATCTTCAAACTCTGAAGGGGTGGCCTTTTGAAAATGTGAAAGAGATGCTAACTCCATGGTTGAACGGCAAAGCAAGATTAATCGTAAAGCCAAAGGACAATTATATCTTGTCTACAATGCGATTGTAAGGGCATGGTGTTGCATCGAGATTGTACGTTAACCAGTATCATCAACAAAATAAAATATTTAAATAAAAAATAATTTGTAAACCATTTTTATAAGATTGAATTAAATTTATAATATACTTTTATGATATTAAAGTTTATTATAGTAATTATTGATTATTTTATATTTATCAAATTCATATATTGATTAATAATATGATCAATATAATATATATATATATATATATATATATATATATATATATATATAAA